TTTATTGCTTTTTTAAAGTTTAGGTATTAACATTGTGCTTCCTTTATTTTTTATGCTCTGAAACAATATATATAGCATTGGGGGCTCTCCCATCTTTGAAGACTTGGTAGTTTTGCCCTTGAAATTTTTGAGTCTTGGTACTTTGTGGGGTTAGTTCCTTGATAATTTTCTCTGTCTTTGCTATGGAAATTGACTTGCTTAAGCTCTCTGTGTCTTCCGAGATCAGTTTTTATTAACTATTGCCCTAAGAAGTTACTCATTTCATCTAGATTTCAACTCTACTTCCACGTACTATTTACTGTTCTTTTTCTAGCTCTTGATTTGGGATTTATTTATTTGCATCCTTTTAGTTGTGTTGTGTAAATTTGTAGGAATATGAACTTTCCTTTGATCACTGCTTTACATACATCCATTATTTTCTAGTATGTGGTGTTTTCCTTGTAATTTTTTCAAAATTTAGTTTTTTTGGTATTTTCTCTTTCATCCAAGAGTTGTTTGTTATATGGCTCTTAAATTTCCATAACAGAAGTCTTTTTGGTTTTTATTTTATTAATGTCTATCTAACTTTTTGTATTGGAATAGTTTTATAGTATTTCTGCTTTATGTAATTTATTGATGTTTTCTTTGGAACTAACATGATTTTTATGCTCCATATGCATGTTATATTATCTATTAGCAAGGTATAAATTTCAATATATATTCATAAGATCTGTGTCCTCATTTTTTATCTACTTCTCTCATACTGAAAATCTGTCGTGTGTGAAAATACATTACTCATTTATTCTTATATTTTTGTCTCGCATCCTTTTAGTTTCTGCTTTGTAATTGTGTTTGCAGGGTTATTTGGTGGGTAGATTTTATAACTGTTATGTCTTTACTGTAAATTGTAGGATTTAGCTTTATAAAGCAGCATTATTTGTTCTTTGTAATGCTTTTTAGCCTAAGTTCTGGTCTACTAACAGGATTATAGTCTCTGTTTTCTGAATGTTTACTTGGTGTAAACATTCTTTTTTCTCATTCTTTTAATTTTTAGCCTTGTTGAATTACTTAATTTTAGTTGTGTCTCTTGTATACAGCAGAGAGTTTGGTTCTGTTTTGGGAGCCAATTTAAAACCTTTTTCTGGTTTATAGGTGAGTTAAGCTTGTTCACATTGTTTGATATGTTTGGTTTTAGCTCAGTCACATTTTGTATGATATTTTGTGTGTGTTTTATTTTTTATTTGGTGTGCTTTTTTTTTCATTTATTTTGTTATTTAGGAAGGTTCATTTTGTTCTAATATTACCTTTTTATTTATACCTTTTATAATGCCCTTTTCTTTTACTATCTGGTTTGGCAGATAGTATTTTTTGACTAGTATCTAATACCTATACAATAATTGATGAGCTTATTCTGTTTTCTCTGTTGTCTTGCCTCATCCTCCCATTTTTGAATCTTTAGGCTCATGTCTTTTGCCAAATTTAGGATATTTTCTGCCATTATTTCTTAAAATATTTTTTCAGCTTCACTCTCCTTCTGCGACTCTGATGACAGAAATGTTAGATCTTCTGTTATTGTTCTACAGATCTCTGAAACTCTCTGTATTTCTTTGTGATTTAAAAAAAATTTTTTTAACATTTATTTTTGAGACAGAGAGAGACAGAGCATGAACAGGGGAGGGTCAGAGAGAGGGAGACATAGAATCCGAAACAGGCTCCAGGCTCTGAGCTGTCAGCACAGAGCCCAACGCGGGACTCAAACTCACAGACTGCGAGATCATGACCTGAGCTGAAGTCGGATTCTTAACCAACTGAGCCACCCAGGCGCCCCTGTGATTTTTTTTTTTTTTTATTTACATTATTGTCAAGTTAACTAACATAGAGTGTATACATTATGCTCTTGGTTTCAGGAATCAATTCCCGTGATTCACTGATTACATACAACACCTAGTGCTCATCCCAACAGGTGCCCTCCTCAATGCCCATCACCCGTTTTCCCCTCTCCCCCACCATCGACCTTTATGGTTTGTTTTCTGTATTAAAGAGTCTCTTATGGTTTGCCTCCCTCTCTGTTTGAAACTGTTTTTTCTCCCTCCCTTCCCCCATGGTCTTCTGTTAAGTTTCTCAAGTTCCACATATGAGTGAAAACATACGATACGTGTCTTTCTTTGACTGACATATTTCACTTAGCATAATACCCTCCATTTCCATTCACACTGTTGCAAATGGCAAGATTTCATTCTTTCTCATTGCCAAGTAGTATTCCATTGTCTATATAAACCACATCTTCTTTATCCATTCATCAGTTGATGGACATGTGGGCTCTTTCCATGATTTGTTGTTGAAAGTACTGCTATAAACATTGGGGTACATGGGCCCCTGTGAATCAGCACTCCTGTATCCTTTGGATAAATTCCTAGTAGTACTATTGCTGGGTCGTAGGGTAGTTCTATTTTTAATTTTTTGAGGAACCTCTATACTGTTTTCCAGAGCGGCTGCACCAGTTTGCATTCCCACCAACAGTGCAAGAGGGTTCCCCTTTCTCCACATCCTCACCAACGTCTGTTGTTTCCTGAGTTGTAAATTTTAGCCACTGTGACTGGTGTGAGGTGGTATCTCCATTGGTTTTATGCAATCTTTTTTAAATATTTATTTATTTTGAGAAAGACAGAGCACTAGTGGGGGAAGGGCAGAGACAGAGAGGCTGACGCTGGACTCGATTCCACAGTGACCACCCGACCACCCCTGAGATCATGACCTGAGCTGAAACAAAGACTCAGACACTTAGCCTTAGCTGACTGAGCCACCCAGGAGCCCCCTCTTTGCAATCTTTTTTGATGTTTGTTTTCCTGTTACCCAGATTGGATGATTTGTATTGATCTTTGAGTTTGTTGATTGTTTTTTTTCTTTCCCCATTTCACTAGGGAGTATTTCCAGTGAGTTTTAAATTTGGATTACTGAATTTTTTAGTTTAAAATGTTCTGTTTGGGGCACACGAGGGTGGATCAGTTGGTTAAGTCTCTGACTGTGGCTCAAGTCATGATCTCGGGAGTTTGAACCTCATGTTGGGCTCTGCACTAGAAACGCAGAGCCTGCTTGGGATTCTCACTCTCCCCTCTTTTTCTGTCCTCCCCTGCTCGTACTTGCTCTCTTTTCTCTCAAAATAAACAAAAACTTTTTTTAAAAATTTGTTTGGTTCTTCTTTATGTCGTGTTTCTTTGCTGAGATTTCCTATATTTAGTTGTTTTAAATATGTTCACAATTGTTTGCTGAAGTATTTTTATGATAGTTACTTTCAAATCTTTGTCAGAGAATTTCAATATCTCTGTCATCTCAGCATTGACATCTGTTGACTGTCTTTTCCCTTTTGAGTTTGAGATGTTCCTGGTATGACAAGTTGTTTTCACTTGTAAGCCTGCACATTTTGGGTGTTCTGTTATGTGACTACAATTTCTATTTAAGTCTTGTTACCTGCTACTGCCACACTGGGTAGTAGACAGGCTTTGTTCACACACACCACGTCTGCAGATACCCTTTAGTAGGGAGGCCTTAGTGCTGGGGTGGGATGGTAGGTGGGCTCGGCTCTCATGCACAACTTCCTTCTGTCCCATTCTTGAAGTTGCAATATTTCTGTTTTTTCAGAATAAATACCATTTATAAGTTTTTCTTCTACTCTTCCACTTTTGTTTGTGATCTGTAATGATCTATTTCCTCAAGCATCTCTTAGTTGAATGAAGCTCATCATCTAACGAAGAAGGTGTCAGCAGCTTTTTCTGAAAAGGACAGATAGTATATATTGTAGGCTTTTGTGGCCACATGGTCTCTGTCCCACTAACATGGGGTAGTTTTAAACACTTAACTCTCCTTACGACTCCTCTTCTTTGAAATCTTACACAGGCCTGGGGCAGGAGGTCCAGACAAAAGCTAGACTTTAATTTTTTCTCTTCTTACAGGTAATTTGAAATTTGTAGTCTCTGACTTCTAGTAATGCTGAAGGTGTGGGTTAAATGTGGTTTTATTTGCTCTTTTTATTGATCTCTATACTTCTTGAAAGATATGTAGATGGACTTAATTCAGATGGCATTATTTTATTTTTAGTTTTTATTTTAGAGTATGAGTGTGAGTAGTGGAGGGTGTGGGGTGGGGGAGGACAGGGGAGGGGAGAGAGAGAATCTTAAGCAGGCTCCATGCTCAGTGCAGAGCCCTACTCAGCACTTGATCTCACAACCCTGGGGATCAGAAATCGAGCTGGATGCTTAACCACCTGAGTCATCCAGGTGCCCCTGGTGGCATTATTTTAAAAGCAACAGAATGTCTTTAATTTGCATACCTTAGTAAGAAACATCTCTGGATTTCACATGAGATAAGATCTATGCTTACATATAACCTCTTTGACTTTGAAAGAGTCAATAAACCTGAGTCGTTCTTTTGTTTTTTGTTATTTGCAAAATCAGATGGCTATGGGTCATGGTTTATGTTCTGTGCTCTTCATTTGGGGACCTTTTTCAAGGGCTTTGCAAATAATTTCCTAAGGTTAAAATGCCAACTTAATTCTTTTATCTGTTTATTTTAATAGCCTAAACAAGTAATCATATTGCTAAACATGTATGAAAACCACTGGTATAGACAGGTGATCTTTTTGGGCTCTTCTAGACTTGAAGCAGCTTGGTATATGGTCTTGTTCTGTATATAAAGTGTTTCCTTGTGATTATTAGGTACTCAGTTTGCGGGGCAGAGAGAACAACTTTTCTGCTTGTTTTTAAATTCATTTATCTGATATATAAATGCATAAGTTGGGGTAGAAGTTGTCTCACACTTCCATGTCTCATTTTTGTAAAGAGTGATTGATCTGAGGTAGGCATTGAGAGAGTACTCTGCTGCTTAGTAGATTTATCAAGTAAGCAGATACTTTTGCCACCAAGCTAAAACATAGTTTAATTACTTTTTACGTTACCACCTCTGAGTTACGTATTTTAAGCATTCAAAAAAATAACTGAATTGTAATTCTTTTTTACTTCCTGTAGATTCTCGTAGATACTGTTTGGGCTCTGTCATACCTGACAGATGGAGGTAATGAGCAGATACAGATGGTTATTGATTCAGGGGTTGTGCCATTTCTTGTGCCCCTTTTGAGCCACCAGGAAGTAAAAGTCCAAGTAAGTATTTAAAAATTTTTTCTAACTTGTTTAAAATTGTGTTTGCTATAACCTGTTAACTTGAACAACCCGGGTTCAGTTCGGTCCATATGTACATATCTTCCATATTTCTCCTCTGTTTTACTGAACCTGATTTTCTTGGTTTCCAAATCTTTATCTCACCCAGATTCTTCACAGTTTCAGACTCCTAGTACCCAGTTGTCCTTGAGCCCTTAGACGTCTCCTCTGAGAACTCCTTTAAAGCATTCTATTGCCATTTTAACCAGACAAAAAGTGTATCGTCTTCTTCCACAAACCTGCTCCTCTTTCTATATCTCCTTTCAGTAGACCACATGGTCCAAGCTTCAAACCTTGATTCCTCCTTTCTTTTCCCCTCCATTTACAAAGTTCTGTTAATTCTTATTATATAGCTTATGAATCTGTCTACTCCTTAAGTATCTAGAGCCACTGATTTAGTTCAAGACTCTTTTTTTTTCTGTCCAAATAATTAGAACAGCATCCTAACTGCATTTTTTTCCTCTCTCATTTCTCCTCACTTTAGTTAGGTGTGGGTGGCTGATAGATGTTTATTCCACTTCTACCAAAGTGACTTTCTAGATGGAAATGTGTGCCCATTCCAGGCCTTTATTAAAATATTTCTGTGCTACTCATTTAGTAATAGATTAGAAATAGCTGCTGTTAAAATGAACCTTTACCTGTTAATTTTTCTTTTTTTTTAATTTTTTGAAAAATTTTTTCGATAGTTTTTCACACATTTTTCTGTAGTTCCATAGTTCTGTAGTTCCATTTTTTATGACTATTGTTTAAAATTCAAAATTGCCTCTCAGTTCTACATAGTACTTTGCCTAAGAATACAGTAAGTGCTAATCATTCACCCCCTGCATTTTTACGTTTTCTCAGGATTATGAAAACTATAGAGTCAGTTTCCTCATAAACAAATAAATGTATAGAAAGTATTTTATCCCCACCCCAGACAGCAGCACTCAGAGCAGTTGGCAACATAGTGACTGGCACCGATGAGCAGACCCAGGTTGTTCTCAACTGTGATGTCCTGTCACACTTCCCCAATCTCTTATCACACCCCAAAGAGAAGATAAATAAGGTAAGGCACATAATAGCCTCATTGGTGCATTTCTTTCTGTCTGTATAAACTGTCCCCTTGTTTTCTGTTGCTGTTTGTTTGATCATAATTTTCTTCACAAGCACTGTAGTTATGATGAGAATTATTTCAGATCACCTCTGCAGTTATTTTGTTACAAGTGTTATTTTGTTATAACCAGTGTTTTTATTTAAATAAATTGGGCAGTAGCAAGGATCAGTAAATTAGTAGCCATGAAGTGAGAATCCATACAAAATCTCTCGCTGGATGGCTGGTATCTTTTATAAACAGATCATAATTTAATCTCCCTATGAAATTAGATTGGACCAATAGATGCAGTGCCTAAATTGAAGGATCAAAAAAGTCTTTTTTAAAATTTCAACTTTAGATACAAACTTATTATTAATTGTTAAATATACTTAAGTACTTCAGTCTCTTTGTATCTGCCTTATTTCACATTGCATACAATTTTTAAGGTTCATCCATGTTGGAGCATGTGTCAGAACTTCATTTCTTTTTATAGCTGAATAAATATTCCATAGTACATACATACCACATTTTGTTTATCCAGTCATTTGTTGGTGGACACTTGGAGTTTTTCTACTGGTGGCTGTTGTGAATAATGTTGCAGTGAACATCGGCATGCAGATGTCCATTTGAGTCACAGCTTTCAGTTCCTTTGGGCATATATCTAGGAGTAGAACTGCCCAGTCATATGGTAATTCTGTGTTTAGCTGTTTGAGGAGCTGCCAAATTGTTTTCCATAGTGGCTGTACCACTTTACGTTCCCACAAGCACTGTATGAGGGTTCCAGTTCCTTTTTTTAAATTATTATAGCCACTCTAGTAGGTGTGAAATGATGTCTCATGGATTTGATTCGCATTTAGTTTAATGTAGTTTTATCTGCCTGAAATGCCACCATCCCCCAAACCAGCAGAACTGATCATTTCTTCTGTGTCATAGCTGTATTTATATAATTGCTCAACTATAATTTGACAGTTGGATTGTTACAGAAAAGTATGTTGTCGAAAAAGTGCATTTTATGAATGCATTTGCTCCAATGAAGGGAAAGAAGCCAGAGTCTTTTAGCCTCTGGGCCAGTTATTTTTACTGTAGAAATTTTAATAATTTGGGATTTTTATAGCTAAATGTATTCCATAATTGGAAACAGAGCTGAGAAGTGAGGAAGCCGGACAGAAGTGGGTGTAGAGAAGTTCTGGCATGTGATCAATATGCTCTGAGTGAAGGTATCATGGGGGACAAAGGGTTCACATAGATGTTTACTCAGCCTCAGCAGCCATTTAGTCTCCTTAGAAGTTTTTCACCTTGAGCATTTGTGTTACTTGGACTTGGGATCATCATGGGACCCTCAAGGTAGAATCAAACTTGGGTTTATTCCCTCAGCATATTAGTTTAAAATGTTTCAAACCTACAAGAAATTTGTAAGAATGGTAGAGTGAACACTGACTTACCAGTTGTTAACCTCTTCCCACAATTGGGCAAAATAAATTTACAGTTAACTTTTTTCACTGTAGAAGAGGAAGAAGAGACAGCACTTGACACTAAAATTACAGTAGACCTGCATGTTTGTGACTTGTAAATCCTTAAAGGTTACAGCAAAATTTGTTATATAGACCCATCCCAGACTAATTGGACACTTAATTTCTAAATATATCTTGCAAGTAAATATTTTTACAAGAAAGCAATTCTCCTTTCTTAGAAATAGTTTTAACAAACTTTTAGGAAATTGAGTCTCTTACTTATTTATATCATTATCTTTTAGAGGGAGCTTAAGCACCAAAAAATGTAAGCTGCATGAGTAAAGATTTTTTTGTCTCTTTTGTTCACTGCCATATTACCATTGTCTACAGTAGTGCCTAGGGACATCTGGGTGGCTTGATTAAAGATCTGACTCTTGATTTTGGCTCAAGTTATGATCTCACAGTTTGTATGATCAAGCCCCGTGTTGGTCTGTGTGCTGACAGCACGGAGCCTGCTTGGGATTCTCACTCTCAAAATAAATAAATAAACATTAAAAAATAAATAAAATAAAGTAGTTCCTGGGTGATGTAGGCATATATTTTATTGGGTGGATCAGTGCAAGGTTAGTGGGCCCACATGTTATGGATGGAAGTTTCCTTATAACGGGTTTAAAATGAGACATTCTGTGTCATCTCATTGCTTTTTAGATGCATTTCCCTAATGCAACTCAAGTGATTTTGTTATAGTTTATGTAAACTACATAAAAATAAAAATATAAATGCATTAAAACTAATCTTTCAAACAAAGGTACCCTGTATTTTGTTCAATTATAGGAAGCAGTGTGGTTCCTTTCCAACATAACAGCAGGCAACCAGCAACAAGTTCAAGCTGTAATAGACGCCGGGTTAATTCCTATGATTATTCATCAGCTTGCTAAGGTCAGTCATATTGTGAGTTTATCGTGTACATTAACATATTATAACCAAGATTTTTTAATAAAGAATTCATACAATCATTTCTTTTTTAACCTTCAGGGAGACTTTGGAACACAAAAAGAAGCTGCCTGGGCAATTAGCAACTTAACGATAAGTGGCAGAAAAGATCAGGTAAGTTTGGAAAAACTGTTAGGATTGTTAATATCGGAAAGTACACTACTCTTTTATGTGTAGGAGCTGCTGGTTGTTCATAAGCCCTGTAGTGTGTTCTTTTTGGGTAAAAGATAATTATATAAATAAACATTTTTCTCTTGTTGCCTAGGTTGAGTACCTTGTACAGCAGAATGTAATACCACCATTCTGTAATTTACTGTCTGTAAAAGATTCTCAAGTTGTTCAGGTGGTTCTAGATGGTCTGAAAAACATTCTGATCATGGCTGGTGATGAAGCAAGCACAATAGCTGAAATAATAGAAGAATGTGGAGGTAAGAGTGCATTGAAGAAAAATAGTTGAGCAGTGGAATGCTGAAAGATCAGTTCCTTTCAAGGCAACTAAGTAGAAAGAAAACTGTCAGGAAACACTGCTCCATCATCAAAGTATGCTGCTGTCCTGTATTCACCAGTTAGCATTACATGAGGGTTTTCCAGCAGGCATCAGTCCGTACTTGGGGAAACTGGTTGTGAAGGTCATTCTGTGACCTTCCTAGAGGGTCACATTGCCTTTTAGGTGACATGAACACTCCTCTTGAAGTCACAGTGCGCGAGAGCAAAAGCTTGGGAACTGCTATGATAGAGAAAGTTATAAGCTTCATTTAATCCAGAATTTCTTAGAATCCTTGACAGTGAAACACTTTCTTCACATTATACCTGATACGTTATTCTATAGACCTTACTTTGTGAAATACTATTCCATGTTGTTGGAAAGGTTAATGATTTTGGAGTCATCTAGGTATTTTATTTCAGTCTTGTGATTGCTAGAGCTGTCTGCTGAAGTTATTACCACAGAAGTTACTTTGAAATGTTAATAAAAAAACTTATTTGAAATATTAAATATTTCTCTGATAATGATATATGAGGCATATTTTAAGGATACCTGTTCAATATGTACTAAGTTGCCCAAACCTTATTGTCATGTTTTATTTTGTATATTTTATTGACTATTATGTACAGTTATATTACCCCTTTCATTTTTTTTTTTAAGAGAAAGTAAATGTAGTCACATCATAAAATATTCAGACTGGAAGTATCTTCTTAATAACAAGAAGAAATTATCCTAGAGATGTTAAGTTTTGTCTGTGGCCATGGAAGTAGATCCTCATACTCTTAATTCACTGCTCATTCTGGTTTTAAGATATTTTGAGATAATTTGAAATTAGCATTGTAGTCTAATTCAGAACTTACCCCAGAAAGTTTGAGCTGCAGAATTGTTACTCTTCAGCTTTAATCAATATAGTTGCTTCGGTCTCTGGGAAGTATACTCACAATTAGGATACACGTTTACTTAGTATTTTATAATTTTTGTGAAGAACTTTACATCCATTATCTGTGACACTTATATTCCCATTTTTCTGGTTTTTTATATTGCTGTTAAAAAGAAAAAAAATGCAACTATTTCAAAATAACCTAGCTAAAAAGATATTTCAAGGAAGAATATTGTTAAGGATTTAAATTTATAGACTTGTGCATCTGATGCATGGAGTAAATATATTGGGAATGTAAATGAAGACATTCTACAGTTCTGAAAACTTATTTTTCAATTTCATTGTGGCTATAGGATATAAGCACCCTCTTTGTTTTTTTCTTCAAAGAAATTATTTCAAAATTTAAAGCTTTGTCTTCTATTTATATCAGTTAATCATGAAGTTTCTGAAAACATGCTTTTGTTGTTATATAAAAGTAATAGCATTTTGAAAACAAAAGGAAAGATAAAAATTACTATATGAGATAGTATGATTCCACTAAAGCAGCCTGGGGAGATGTCAGTTCAAGTTCTGTCACTAACTTGCCACTCAACCTAAAATAAACCCCTTTACATCTCTATACGATAGCTTCCTCATCTGTCAGATGGAGTATTTAGGTGTTTTTTAAACTGTCTGCCTCAGATACCAGATAACCCTTGGGGTCAAGGGTTTCTAGAGAGGAAGAAATTAGTGGGATGCTGGTCCTCCAATCAGAGCAGCTCAGAGTTTTATCTGTGTTTTAGACAAACTGTCATTTTCAGGGTGTGGTGGGAGGGTGTTGCGAGTTCTTTAGGATTTTCCATGACTAGAATGAACACAGTTTTTATTCATGTCCATTTGATTATTTGATTTTTTGTTTTTATCAGGTTTGGAGAAAATCGAAGTTTTACAGCAACATGAAAATGAAGACATATATAAATTAGCATTTGAAATCATAGATCAATATTTCTCTGGTGATGATGTAAGTATCCATTAAAGTATGGTATGCCTACATGTACATTAAAACCTACACATACTGTTAAGTTCACTGAGAATTTTTTTATCATTAATATGACAAGTATATACTGTATTTGGTTGTTTTTTTTTGTTGTTTATTTTTGAGAGAGAGAGAATGTGAGCACATGCGCAAGCTGAGGAGGGACAGAGAGAGGCAGAGAGAGAGTGGGACACAGAGAATCCCAAGCAGGCTCTGTACCATCCAATGTGCAGAGCCCAGTGCAGGGCTTGAACTGATGAACCGTGAGATCATGACCTGAGCTGAAATCACGAGTTGGTTGCTCAACCGACCGAGCCACCCAGACACCCCTCTATTTCTATCAGATACTTTTGAGGTGGCATTTTCCACTTATTTTTAATAATCTAAATTTTAAAAAATTAGTAATTGTTTTCCATCAATCAGTTTCTTTTATTTTTATCTTTTATTTTTTTTTTAAGTCTTTTTATTTTGAGAGAGCAGGGGAGGGGGAGAGAGAGAGAATCCCAACGGACCTTAGTCTCGCAAATTTGTGAGACCATGACCTAAACCAAAATCGAGAGTTGGATGCTTAACCTACTGAGCCACTCAGGCACCCCTCAATCAGTTTTTTTAAATACTATGTTTGAAACTTCATTATAAGGTAAAAAATGTATAAACAGTTCTCTGAGAGGCACCTGGCTGGCTTAGTCGGTGTAAAGCATGTGACTCTTGATCTTGGGCTTAGGAGTTTGAGCCCCACATTGGGCATAGAGATTACTTAAAAATAAATAAATAAATAAATAAATAAATAAATAAATAAATAAATAAATAAACAAACAAACAAACAAACAAACAAAAACCCACTTTTTGTTATATTTGTAATCTGTTAAATGGGAAAAAATAGTACAGTTGACTCTTGAACAAGGGTTTGAACCACATGGGTCCACTTATATGCAGATTTTTTTCAATACAGTATAGTACTATAAATGTATTTTCTCTTCCTTATGATTTTCTTAGTAACATTTTCATTTTTCTAGCCTACTTCATTGTAATAATAAGTATATAATACGTATGACATACAAAATATGTGCTAATCAACTGTTTATGTAATTGGTAAGGCTTCCAGTCAATGGTAAGTTATTAGTAAAGTTTTTGGGAGTCAGAAGTTGTACTCAGATTTTTGACTCTGCAGGGGGTGGGGGATTGGTGCCCCTAGCTCGTGTTGTTCAAGGGTCAACTGCAGTTACAGAAATGATGTGTGTTCAAGGGCACCTGGGTAGCTCAGTCAGTTGGGCGGCCAACTCTTGAGTTTGGCTCAGGTCATGATCTCATGGTTCGTGAGTTCAAGCCCTGCATCAAGCTCTGTGCTGACAGTGCGGAGCCTGCTTGGGATTCTTTCTCTTCCCTCTCTGCCCCTCCCCAGCTCATCCACACACGTGATCTCTCTCTCAAAATAAACATCACAAAACGAAAGAAAGTACGTGTGTTCAAACAGGTAAAATAAATCTACAGATACAGAAACTTAAGAATGGGGCAGGGACAGGGGAGGGGGTTAAAAAAAAAAAAAAGAAAAGAACTTAAAACAATTTTGAAATGTGTGTTCAGTTTAATTAAATTGTTAAGTTTCTTAATGTTACTGATTTACTTAAATATTTTAATTTATCGATTAAAACATCATATAGAACGATTACAACATCCGTACAGAATTCTCTCGTAAGAAGTAAGTTCTGCTTATACCATAACATGTAGTATCTTAACAAAGGCCTTTTTTTTGTTTTGCTTTTTATAGATTGATGAAGATCCTAGCCTGATTCCTGAAGCAACACAAGGAGGTACTTACAATTTTGACCCAACAGCCAACCTTCAAACAAAAGAATTTAATTTTTAAGTTCAGTTGAGTGCAGCATCTTCCCCAATTCAATATGAAGCACCACCAGATGGCTACCAAATGACAAGAAGAAGAACAACAACAAAAGGCTCCAAAACACACATGCCTCTTCGTTTTGATGCTTCTAAAAGCAAGCCATGTCTCAGTCACTTTGCAGTTGCCAAAAGTTACTATCACATGGACTGTAAATGCATATGCATGATTTCCTAAACTGTTTTAGAATTCTCCTTAACAATCTCGACTACCCTATTTTTCCCTGTTCCCTGGTGCCACACGCTGACAACTGCAGTTCCAGTTTAGAATATTCCATAGTGGTGGCATGTCAGCTGCCCACTTGATACTCCTTTGGAAAATGGTGCGCTGTGGATCAAGACACTTCGGTATGATGCATATACACGTTGGAAGACTTTAAAGAGGTGCAGTCTGATCTGAGCCTCCATCATTGTCCTCCACAAACATATTTTCATATTCTTTATGTGGAAGAATAGATTTTAAAGTACAAGCCAAATGATTTTCATTGGTGGAACTGACACACAAAAAAGGAACTTAAAAAAAGAAACTTGGTTATTGATTAAACAGTTAAGTTTTAAAAAAACTGTGCTTCATCTACCAGTAATTGATGTGTTTATTATCTGCCTCAGAAGCCAGGGTTGGAGGAAGAACTTTAGCTATGGATGGTAATGCTTTCGCCATTATACCTAATTTTTGAGAACAGCAAGCCCTATTTGACCACTCACTTCAGCCTGTGTGTTCCTGCTGTTTTGAAGTAATCAAATGCTGTGCATGGTATTTTACCTGAGCTGCAACCTGTTACGGACTTGAACTTCTGTTTAAGTTGAAAGCAAGAGTCCCTGACTACAAAGAAAAAACAAATAAAAAACAACAACAAAAAGCAAAGGTCTAACGTACCGATTGGTGATGTTTAAAAAAAAAAAAAAAAAATCTTGCTTTCAGCTTTCAGGAGTTAATATTTTTTGTTTTAAATTGATAATTGGATATGGTTGATTTATATTGGGTTTAAACTGTGGAGCCTTCATGTTTACTGTAATTTAGTCTTAAAATATTTTTTACTTAGTAACCAGTGCTTTTGATAATGTGGTTGGCAGCAAACCAGCAACTATTTAGAAGTGTTATACAACTTCATTCTTTGAGTATTGGGAAAGTTAATTCAGATCCTACTCTAAAAGCATATTCACATATTAAAAGATTCAGTCAAGGATCTGTGTAGAGGAATAATCTGCAGTTATTTGACATAAACCTGATTTGCAGTGATCTTGAAGCAAAATCTGGTATTACTATGTAAAGTCATTGCTTTTGGTAAATTGTCATCTGACCCAGTTATTAATGAAAGAATATGGATTTGAACATGTTTAAACTGAATGATTTGTGCTGTCACAGAAATGGTTTTGTTGCTATTGTTTACTGGGTATAATTTCCCAATGCGTTGATGTGAAGGGATAGAAAATCTAAACTAACGTAGTTATCCGATGGGGGTGTATTTACTGTGATGAAGATGAGACCGATGCCATCAGAGCTTTGTGAATCAGCTGGGGTGTTTTCACTGATAAACAACACATAGCAGGTGTGCATTCATTACAAATACATGTATCTGCCAAGGTGGAGCCACTTTAAAGAGTGAGTTTTGTCTTGTATCCAAAATGGATACAAGCGTATGTTTAAACTGCAAGATTTTTACTTGCTAGAGAATCTGTTTTAATATAGTGGTTTGGCCTCTGATTATTTATAGGTTTTATAAATTTTAGAATCAATTTCTCTTTAAGGTGGCTCAGATTTTTCAACTCTTGTGCACATAAAATTGAGTTGAAGTTCATTGTGCCTTTTTTTCTTTATCCAAATTTTGAGTTAAAGCTTCATATGGTAACTGCATCCTGTTCAGACACTGTAGTCTAAATTTCTGAAACTGTGTGGTGTTCACTAAAAGTAGGAATAACAAAGTCAAAGCCAATTAAGGTCACAAACTTCGGTGAAACCCTTAAAGTCCAAATCTTCTTGATATTGTGAATTGTACCCCTCCTGGTTTAGTTTCTTCTGGACTCTCCATCCTACTTACTGACAGTTACCTTTTAAATTTTGCACACATTGAGATTAAATCAGGCCTCTACTGTGCCGATTCCGATTTCCTCTTGTGTTTTAAGTGCAAACTAACATAAGTGAACATTCGCATCAAGTAGTGCAGACATATGTATGCATTTGCTTGATTCAATTTGTTGTGACCTTATCAGTTTGGAATTGGAATTGCACCATTTCTTAGACAAAGGAAACTAAGTATATTGCTGCACTTTTAAGTTTTCAGAACAGTGTTGAAAATCGCATTGTTTTTATTTTTTTTAAACTCAGTTAAAAAAGACTAAAACGTTCTTTCAAAAGAGGCATCTAAATGTGTTCCTAATTTTGTATATGGGCTTAGGTTTTGTAACCAATAAAAAAAAGCTGCTATCAAATCCGATAAAACATTGAAGAACTTATTTCTAAAAGTTTCTTAATTTCCTAGTTTTGTTTTCTGCGTGGTTAAATTTAAATTTGGAACTATTTTTCAAACATCAACTACAGTGGAGGCAAATCATGAATTACTCTTTCGTTGTATTTTAATATCTCTCTTCCACTCTAACAAACTAGGACAATAGCAGTGCTCGATTTAAGAGTATTTTATGACAAATAAGAAATACCTAAATCTTTATTAATTTCCAGAGCTTCCACACGGTACAGCAGAACAGGTGGCTTAAAACAACAGAAACCTATGGTTGCACGGTTTCGGAGGCCGGAAGTCGGAAATCAAGCTGCCGGGTGCAACGCGCTGTGTCCGTGGGCTCTTGGGAGGCCCCTCTTTGTCTCTTCCCGGCTTCTGGTGTCCCCGGCAGTGCTTGGCGTCCCTCGAGCCTCTGCTTTCATCATCGTCCTGTGGCATACCTCAGGTTCAAATACCATGACTTAGAAAGGCCTGGTGAGAAAATGGTGTGCTTGTGACTCTCATGAAACCACAACGACAAAATCACACTTTATGGCCTGTCTAATCCTTGAAAACAAGTAACTGTGGAAGATAGTAATTGAAGTAAACTGGAAAATTTTAACCTGTGAGATCAAGGTGGTGGCTCTAAGTGAAATCTTGGATTAATTAAAAGAACAAAAGAGCAACCGAACTTTTGAGTATACAAATATTTTTACTTTAGTATAATTCCACTTCAAATTATTTTTGAAAGAAGTCAGTGTACAAGTAAATAAATGTGATAGTACTTCTATGTAACCGTGCCAAGATTTCCTTCAGAACAGCTGTCCTTTTTTGGGGATTCATTATTTAATTATTGCAAGTGAAAATTCATGAATGTCAGTTGTCTTACAGTGATGGTTCTGAATTTTTGTTGACTCTAGTTGTACTGGGGGATCTTAATCTATTCGGAGAAAGGAAATATAATTTCTGTACCTTAGGCTGTAAGTCTTAAGGTCTGTAACCCAGCGAGTGCTCTGTGTAACCCACCACTCGTATGTCTAGAGGAACTCTTTGTATAAATTTTGTACTTTGTTACATAGCTAAAAATCAGTGGTAGAATGATTCTCAAAAACGTCTATATCGCAGTAGGGGTGTATGTGTTTATCTACCTAGATGTACAGATGGCGCTCAGTACTATACTGAAAGGAAGTGTTTGGGAAAAGGGACGTGAGAATGTAGCCTGTTCACCTCCTTAGCCTCCTTATTTGCCCATGAAACCCCTCACTCACTCACTTTGACCTAAATTAGGGTTTCTCAAACCCTGCAGTATTGACATCGTAGGTTGGCTAATGCTCTATTGGGGGCTGTCCTGTGCGTTACAGGATGTTGACCAGCATCTTTAGGCTCTACCCACTAAGTACCTCTATACTACCCAGTCATGACAACCAAAAGTGCCTCCAGGAATGGCCGCGTGTTCCCTGGGGGCCAAATTTGCCCAGGTGCAAACCACTGCTCTGAATTAATTTCTGTAGAAAACTTCCCCACTCAAGGGAGACAGCCTAAAGCATGCCTTTTTGTTGTATAAACAGTCCTAGACTTTGCTCAGGTGTGTCAGATGGGGAGACAAATACATGCCTTTTCTTCATTCTCCATTTTAGGAGAGATCAGAGTCAGCACTGTCACCCATCTGTAGGAACTACTGGTAATACTAAGCCCCATCTGTTGCATAGGACTTAGGAGAGAAATGGGAAGATGGAGGAACTACTAACCTTGAATTTATCCTGTGGCTAAAAAAACAAGGTGTGTGAAATAAGCAAATGTGTTGATTGCCCACAGTTTTCTCAACACTGCTTTGTAGCAGTGTTTTTCAGACATTTTTAGTTGAGATAGTTAAGTCCTCTAGGAAAGCTGGGTTGGACCAGAAAATCACAGCATACATAATTCTGAAAAGCATTTCTTTGAAGCATTGTGAGAGACTGGCCCCATCAGGAAGCTTACAAGTTTATTAAAAATGATCAAAGCAGCGGAACTATCGTTGAGTCATGCTACAAAGGATGTATTCCCTGCAGGGAACTTCTACAACATCCCTCTTCCATACCCTAACAAAACTGCTATCTACCTTCTCGAGTAAATCTCTTTTTTCAAACTCTGGTGCCCAAATAAATGTGGCCTTCTGCCAGGTAATGTGTGATTGCACAAGACAAACAAGGCATATCTTCACGGGACAGCAGTTTTACTTGATGATAAGTAGAGCAGTTTTATGGTAATACAAGCCTAAGCGTTACAGAGTAAAGGACACATTTTGCATAACGTTTTAAAGATAAAATCAGATTTTTGAGGCAGGCCATTTTATGGAAACATTCCGTCAAGAGTAGGAATCGGAGAGTTGGAGAAGCAATGATGAAACACTAAGTGAGCCTGTTCTACTCTGTCGAGTAGCATTACTTGTTACTAACTCTTTTCTTAATACTGAACCAACGGCGCCTCTCGTAAATGACCATCTTTATAAATAAACTGTTACTCCTAGTTAGCAGAAGAGGCAGCTCTGCTCTCCACAGTTGCCTTCCTCAACCTGAACACCCCATGCATTTCAAGCAACAGCTTACAGAGCCACTCTGGGAACTGGTTCCTGTCACATGGTGCATCCCAAAGACCCCAATAATACACTGTGATGTGACTAGTTTGTGGGTACAGTGGAATAGGAACATTCCATTATCTGGACACTTAATTCTATTCTAAATTTTTTTGAGTTTATTTATTTTGAGAGAGAGAGAGCACAAGCAGAAGAACAGAGAGAAGGAGAGACAGAATCCCAAGCAGGGTCTGCACCATTAGCACAGAGCTGAGGCGGGGCTTGAACTCACAAACCGCAAGATCATGACCTGAGCTGAACTCAAGAGTCCGACGCTCAACTGACAGAGACACCCAGGTGCCCCTGGATACTTAATTCTTTTATTGTGGAGATATTCTCTATTTTGCCAGCTTCATCATAATTAGACATCATCAAGTAACAGCCTCAGCTCCCCTTGTCATCAGCTCTCTTTGACTCAGTAGGTTGGCATTTATACTTCCGAACCTAAATATGAGAATTTGTAAGTGCTGGGGCACCTGGGTGGCTCATTCGGTTAAGGGTCCAACTCTTGATTTCAACTCAGGTCATGATCTCACAGTCGTGAGATCGAGCCCCACGTTGGGCTCTGCACTGACAGCACAGAGCCTGCTTAGGTTTCTCTCTCTCCCCCTCTGCACCCCCACCTGCTCATGCTCTTTCTCTCTCTCAAAATAAGTAAACTTTAAAAAAATGTGTAAGTGCCATATTTCCAATTTCAGCCCAGTTTTTCCTCATCAGACTGTATTTATATGTGTCCTTTCAATGTCTTCAGGCATACAGGAAGCACCATGGCGAGTTAAAGGGAGTGAAAGAAAGCAGGTATAACTAGAACAAAAATAAGGATGGGGAGCAGGATTACTAGGGGCATGGGAGAGGCTAAAGAGATAGGTAAGGGCCAGTCCCCACAGCTGGTAAGTCATTATAAGAGAAATGGGAAATCACTACCCATTATCGTTATTATTACACATTACCATTACAGAGTGATGACAGAAGAATCGTGTGTAATAATCATTGCCTAGTAAGGTAAGGACAGGAAACGTACTCGGGGTTAGTGATGTGTAGAGGTCACATTAGTGAGCGTGAAGCACTGAGGCAAGAGAGGCTCAACAACTTGGTCCATGAAGTGGATGGGATCAAGAGATACTCAGCAGCTAAAATAGACAGGAGTTGGTGATGCCTTAGATCTGGAGTTTGGGGAGCAGGAAGTGTCAAGGATGATTTCTAGGTTTCTGAGTTTCAATAACTGATGAGTGGAAGTTAACACAAGATAGGGAACACTCAGACATAGCGAACAGAGGGTGATGAGTTCAGTTTGGGTTATGTTGAGACATCTAAATGATTGTCAAGTAGGGCAATTGGAAATACTGGTCTGGAGCTTAGAGGAGAGAGCTAAGTTAGAGATTTGAACCTCCTGCCTGTTTGGGTGGTTATTAGTGCAGGGGGTGAGGATGAGACTGCCTGGGTCCAGCATTTGGAAGGAAAACACGGCTCAGGGCAGTGCTGTGGAGTTAATGGGCATGTAGTGGAGGATGAGCTTGCAAAAGGAACAGAAGGTATGGATAGGGAGGTAAAAAGAAAATGCTGTGTGTTTCCTCAGAAAACGGAGGGAAAAGAGATTCTGGTGCCCACTGATGCTGTAGAGAAGTCAAGTAAAGCAAGGACAGAAAATGTCCTTTGGGTTAGTGATAAGGGAGGTCACCAATCACCTTAGAGCTGGATCACTGAGGCAATGAGGGTGGAAACTAGGAAGGACTGAGGAGTAGAGACACAGTATGGAGACATTGATCAGGTTTTTATTTTGCTCTGAAGGGGAGGTCAGGGTCACTGAAGGATGAGTGGGGAAATTGGTAGGGGAAATCCAATTGAGAAAGTTGCTGAATATACATGAGAAGAGTGATCGTCAGTTTTCTAAGTTACAAGAGAGAATCCAAAGCATAGGTGACAGGATGGACCATACTCTCTTCTTCAGTCAGCACTTACTTAATTGAGCAGCTATTATATCCCAGACTCTGACAGGTGCCAGGGATACCTGCAGTCCCTGGCCGTGTGGAGCTTATACTTGAGTGGCAAGAGACTAGCAATAAGTGTGTAAATAAATTAGATAATTTATCTGGTGTTAGCTGCTATATGAAACATTATACAAGGAATGACTAGGGGAGAAAGGTGCTCAGTGCCAGAAATCATATTTTTAAATTGTGGTAAAATACACACAACATAAAATTTACCATCTTAACCATTTTTTAATGTTTATTTTTGAGAGAGACAGAGTCTGAGTGGGGGAGGGGCAGAGACAGAGGGAGACTCAGAATCTGAAGCAGCCTCCAGGCTCTGAACTGTCAGCACAGAGCCCCATGTGGGGCTGGAACCCACAAACCGCGAGATCGTGACCTGAGCCCAAGTCGGATGTTTAACTGACTGAGCCACCCGGGTGCCCCTACCATCTTAACCATTTTCAAGTGTACAGTTCAGCAGTGTTAAGTATATTCACATCTTTGTGCAACCATACTCCATAACTTTTTCATCTGGCAAAACTGAACTCTAGCCATTAAACAACTCCCCTTTTTCATTCTCCCCCAAGCCTCTGGCAACTTCTATTTTCTGTATCTAGGAATATGACTACTTTAGATACCAGATATAAATGACATCATAACACTCGTCCTGTTTTTGTGACTGACTTAATCTCACTGAGCATAATGTCCTCTTTGAAAACAAGAATAATTTTTTAGCATAGGTACCCTAGTGATACTTTAAGTATTTAAACATTTTTTTTTTTTTTTTTAATCTGAAACTCAAGTTTATCTGGTCATCTGTATTTTATCTGGCTATCCAAAAGTGAAAAGACAGGGTTGGTCAACAGGAGTTACAGTCTTTTTAAACTCTGACACCTTTCTCCAGTGCTAAGTCTCTAAGTAACAGAGGCCTAAGGAAGGGAGAGGGGAGAAGGTTCAAAGCAAACAAACAAGATGCTAGCAAAAGCAGAGAGAAAAGGTTAATGTGATCAGGACAAAGTGGCACTTCATTAGAGGAGGGCTATAATTGCCTTCTAAGAAGTCAGCGTGCAGGGTCAGAACACAAAGGCCTCAGATGCAGTCATGGGTTCTGGCTTCTGCTATCACTGAGAGTCCTTAGACAAGTTACTTTGTATGAGGCTGTTTTCCTGTTTGTTAACTAGGAAAACATTGACCTCCTAGGATTGTAGTGCCGTTAGATAAGATAATGTTAAAAGAATCTAGTGTCAAGCCAATATGACCTATTGCTCTTCTGCCCCATACTTTTGCTGCTAAAGCTTCTGCACAGTGAAGGAAAAAATCAGCAAAACTAAAAGGCAACCGATGGAATGGGAGAAGATATTTGCAAATGACATATCAGATAAAGGGTTAGTATCCAAAATCTATGGAGAACTTATCAAACTCAACACCCAAATAACAAATAATCCAGTGAAGAAATGGACAAAAGGCATGAATAGGCACTTTTCCAAAGAAGAAATCCAGATGGCCAACCAACCCATGAAAAAATGCTCAACATCACTCATCATCAGGGAAATACAAATCAAAACCACGAGATACCACCTCACACCTGTCAGAATGGCTAACATTAACAACTCAGGCAACAGCAGATGTTGGCAAAGATGCAGAGAAAGAGGATCTCTTTTGCACTGTTGGTGGGAATGCAAGCTGGTGCAGCCACTCTGGAAAACAGTATGGAGGTTCCTCAAAAAATTAAAAATAGAACTACCGTATGACCCAGCAATTGGGATGAATGGATAAAGAAGATGTGGTACATATATACAATGGAGTATTACTCGGCAATCAAACAGAATGAAATCTTGCCATTTGCAACCATATGGATGGAACTGGAGGGTATTATGCTAAGCGAAATTAGTCAGAGAAAGACAAATATCATATGACTTCACTCATATGAGGACTTTAAGAGACCAAACAGATGAACATATGGGAAGGGAAACAAAAATAATATAAAAACAGGGAGGGGGAC